TAATTTATTTGATGGTCACTGCTACCTGGATAACTGTGGTAATTCTAGACACAACTTCCGTCCATTGCAAATGTTCGTGAATGGACATTGTAGGGCAATACGTAACGATACGTAACGCATGATACGGTTGAAGTACCTCGCACGAGAGTGAAACGACTTTGCTCCTGGCAGCGTGCGCATGGAAAACCTGCAAGTTGATAATAGTTTACATGCATTCATGTGATGTCATATGCCCATCCGCAACGTTCAGTGGCAGCATGTAGCACGCCCGCACGCAGCCAACGAGGAATTCCAGAGTTTGTCCAGTATTTGGCTGGACATCGTGAAGGCACCGGTGTCTCCAGCAGTTGGCTGCTTAGCGACGTGCACCGTACATGGATCGACCGATCCCTTTGCATTCTTGGTGTGCGCTGTTGTGGATGAGGTAGCTGCGTACCTGACATAGCGGCTGGGCTGGCATTTCAGCATGGGGGAGATTTGGGGCTGGCTCTTGCACATGTTGAAGGTTTCCCGACATGACAATTCACAACATGAGATCTTGCCCTGGCATGTGTTTGCACCTTTTTGCACTTTTAAGGAAGACCCTTTCGTTTTTGTGTGCGCGCACGCGAAGCGGGATGCAAGATGTGGATTTTGCGGACCCAGACTGTTGCAGTCAGCAGTGCAGTTGGCCCAGACTCTCGTCCAACATATACACAGTTTTGCAAATGTACGTTTTTGCTTGTGGCTTGCACGTTCTGCTCTAGTTTAGTGCAAGCATGCAACTAGCCCTCCAGGACGACCAGAATAACCACAATGCAAATCCGAAAATGTTCTCACATTGGGGGCCACAAGTACGCCGGAAACGTCATTGTTTATGGCGGTAAGGCACTTGCGCCCATTGCCAATGCACATTGTGCAATTTTTTGTTGATATCACAGTACGTATAGCTGCCACTTCTTCCAGGCAGTCACCTGTTGGCATGAAACTATAACCGTTAACCCGTACAGGCTGAAGCTGAGGATGGGCATTGGCAACTTAGCTGGCTCATTTGACCTTGTTTTTTTTCTTGTGCAAGTTGAAATCATTCACCCGTCCAGGTATGGATACGCTACCCCGGGCAATTTGTTTGCCATTTTGACAGGCACTCGGTTTCTTCTTGTTCATGGGTGGGGCACGTTTCTGAGAGAGGAGCATCTAACATGTTCCGCTCAGGTAGATAATGCCGAATAACAAGTTTTTGGGTGATATTATTGCTGCCAATTGCAGTTGCTGGAATCCTTCATAAGTTGCAGCTGAGAAAGCACACGGGACAAGACAACTTATGCAGAACATATCCTTCAGAATTAGAACGAAAACACACAAAAGACATTTGGATGGCAAAAATGCGTCGGGTGCAATTAATTGTGCCATCATTATCACGTGTATGTTGCGCGATGACATGATGCCTGCCCAAGCGGCAAGAACATGCCGGGAGCACGCCACGAGCGCTCAAGGAGCTGTCAAAAGGACTACTACGGGACCTTCCAAGACCATATAAGACCATTCGAGGAGCATCCGACACACGGACACCAAGGCCAACAAAACAGCACCCCCGGAGCGCTAAACTAGAATTCTTCAAGAGGACAAAGGAAGCACCAAGAGCTGTCCAAACGCTTTGGAGCACGGGAGCGCATGTCAGCAAGTGACCTTTGATCTATTGTTGGGCTCTTGTGGGTTGACGTGTGGAAGTTCGCTGCACAGGCCGCGCAGTTCGGTCAAGACTTTGGCGCGGTCGGCTCGGAATTTCTGAATCAGCAGCCATCGCCGAACGCAAGCGGCAGGCAGCATTCGAATAAGCTTAAATCAGACAAGCTCGAGCAGGAGGCATGTCGTGCTGGTGCAAGGCTTTGCTTGATGTCCTGCCGTTCGGATTGGTGGTCATTCTGATTGGCATTGGGCCGTGGCCTTATGCATTCTCAACTCTGCTGAGTCCTGCCCTGCCCGGTCGCCATCCAAGGTGGCGATGGTTCCAGATTGGTTCAGTAGGTCCAGATATATGCGAAAACCACACGCAATCAAATGAACTCAGTGACCGGAAGAGTTGCGGTAGATAGACATCCTTCTAATCGCCTTCTCAATTGAGTGAGACAAATACATATCGAATGACATCATCAAGGTTGACATAGTCAAGGCAGTGCTCGCATGTGTTGCCCCGAGGTCCTACGCCTGGCTTCGCAGGCGGAGAAGCTCGCATGACTGATATTCTTTGAAACTACGCCACCATAACTGCAGCGCGGTATTTCTTCAGAGCACGCAAAGTTGCCGTGCTCGGCCGCTGAACTCGTGCATGAAACCTTGTCTCTTTGATTTGACCTCATCGTTGTAGCAACTACAAGGGCAAAGCCTGTGCAAATTCACAGTGACTTGGCCCTGCACAAAGCGCAGCACTTCAGCTGAACAAAATGATGAGATGCAGTCGCATCAGCGGGAATACAGTTAACAAACTCCTCGAACTTGCAGATAAAGATCCATCATGTAGCTCTCTTGATGGAGTGCACTTCGGCAAAGGGTTTGGCGCAAAAGTTTGTTTGTCGCGCTACAGAGCAAGTAGATTTCAACAGCAGATGTCCTAGTAGAGGATGGCCAAGGTGATAGTTTTAAGGCACGGTATCGCTTCAAAACATTGCGGGCAAAAGTGGAAGCAGCAAAGGCTTTAGTGAGTCATGTGAGTCATCAGCATGAGTTTTCACGAGTTTCATGATGTAGCTGTGGTATGCATGGTATGCAGTGGTTATTGTGGTTTTGGTTGTTGTTGCTGCTGCTGCTGATTCTGCCGCTGCGGCTGCCGCTGTGGCTGCTGCTGCTGCTGCCGCTGCTGCCGCTGCTGCCGCTGCTGCCGCTGCTGCCGCTGCTGCCGCTGCTGCCGCTGCTGCCGCTGCTGCGGCTGCTGCTGCTGCTGCTGCTGCTGCTAGCTGGTGCCGGTGGCTGTGGCGCTGGTGCCGGTGCAGGTGGTGGTTGGGTGGGCGGTGACGGTGAAAGGCGAGGCTCGAGATGTTGAAGCTCCAACTGAACCCGTCCTCTCTGGCGCTGTTGGACAAAATCTTTCTCGCGCTTCGTAGACGGCAACCTTGGAGGTCGTAGTTCGGATCCCATGTTATTTGTAGCAATGGAAACGTTAACGGCAGCAATCAGGAATCAGCTGCAAATGTGGTGATGTTTTTGCTGACAGCTATTGGGGTAGTTGTTACGCCACTTGTTTGGCTTGCCAGCCTTGGACTCAAAGAATGTCAGGATGTTCACAGGATGTTTGCTCACAGTTCGTGTCGTCTTTCAGCAAAGGCCATGCCCAAGGTCGGCTCGCCAGATGCCAGCCTGAGCCGTGCACACAGTTCGTCATGGTATGTCATAGTCAGTTAACTTTAACCCTGACTTCAGATGTGTGCCAGGAGTGCGAGAAATTCACAGTTCTAGAGCCCTGTGCTGTTAGGAACTTCCGCAACGAAGCTGTCCTTTCTCTAGCACATCCAAAAAAATTAGCTGTACTGGCAAGTGAAGCTGCCCACTCCGCACGGTTTGAAGATGTTGAAGTAAGTTGTTCCCCCAGTCTTTTGGCTTCCCAGGACGGCGCGGGCGAACAGACTCTGCAGATTTTCGAGGCCACACCACTGAGGAGGCTGCTTGCGATCTGGTCAAGTGCACTGGTATGTATTTGTCAAAAGTGCCCCACAACATGGATGTGCGTGGAAGGATACAGACCTGGCTGATGATCCAAAAAGCGAACAGGCGACTGCAATCACTTTGCTTCGACGCTAGGGTTAATTTGCAAATGATTCTGCAGGAGTCTGCTTCGTTGAAAACAGCCCAGAGTGCTGTCCTTAGGTAGAGAAATGGAAGCACATGGAAGCACGGGGAGGGAGAGAGAGAGGGGAAACTCATGGGGAGCCCCACAGGATTGGATAATAGAATGCCCGTGTGTACATGTTGGAACTGCTGATGTGTAGTATGCGAAACCTTGCTTGCAGACTGGAGCTTGTGGACATGCGCGCGGCTTCAGGGCGTAGCCCTGGCTCATTCCTTCGGGAGTGGCAAAGCCAGTAGAGGAAGAAAAAGAAGGAGCACAGAGAGAGGGAGAGAGAGAGAAATAAAGAAAGAAAGAGAGACGGGGACGTGAGTCAGCACGTCATAAACGAAGAGAAACAAATTCGAAGCGATCAGGGCAGTTGCAGTTGGGAACCTGGATTTTTGCATCGTGCCTAGGCAATGAAGGTGGTGACAAGCTCCTTTCGCCCCTGCCCGATCATGGCAATTCGATTTGCTTGGCAGTTAGTGTCTAGCATTGACACCAACAGGAAGGTGAAAATGAAAAAGATGATGGTGCGAGCAGCCCGGATCTGATCTACCTGGACTGCGGGGCACGTTGAGAACAGTTCTATTGCGCGAGCCCGAGGTCATGGGAATCAGCATGATGATCACATTTGGAGGTATCATATATTTAGGCACGGAGCCAAGGAGAATTTATTTGAGTGCTCCCATTGAAGCGGAGGCACCGGCGATTCTAGAGCCTTGCATATTCAGGACACTGCTACCTGTGCATGCTGGTCTTCGCATTGCCCCTTCCTTGATCAGAGGTCTCGCAATGCTTTCTTCATCCAGAAAAGTGTATCCATGCAGTGTAAGGCAGTGCTTCATATTCTCTGAGCTGGTTGGAGTGCGATCCTCACTTGTTGCTGTTTGTTGTGCGACACATCTGGTGCGTAGTGCCGTGAGCCACCGGTGCATTTTTTTGCTTTAGCCTGTACACTTTACACTCCGGACAACCCTTTCTTAGGTTCGAAAGAGGCAGGCCGCAGAGAGAAGGCCAGAAGCAAAACACCCCGGCAAGATTCCCAAATAGATTTGGTGGACCCCGTCTTATCGTTACCATTGGTCTCCTCTAGTTTTTGCCCCTAGGAGGAAGCACTCTGCATGAAACCTCCTGGGTGGTTCATAGTGTCATAGTGGTACTATATGAGCGCTTCCGGTATTTGCAGACGTATCGTATCGCCCCGGGATACTCACCGATGCAACATTAAGCACAACTTGGCTTTGCAGAGTCGAGGTGCCAGGCCAGTCAGACTGCTTCTTCTGACTTATTTCGACAGATTTGCATGCAAGCATGTGCTTCCAAATGCTGCGCTGTTGCAGCAGTTGACTGGGGAGAGAGGGCTGGGGTATGACTGTCATTAAAAAACTATAATGCCCTTCTTTTGTTAGGACTCCACAGTGCCCACCTATACCTACATCAACCTGCATCTGGCACAACTTTTCCAGATAGCCATCTAGACGCTGCAGCGTGAAGGCGAACTGAGCTGCAGGTAGTTGCAATTTCCTGCAGTCCGTCGCTTGTTCTTCATGGCATGTGCTTACGGGACCTATGTGCATATATTTCGCTTGAAATCCTAAACGCCATGATCTCTCAAAACTTAACCAGTGTGCTACAAGCACCCATACCCTATGCTTGGAGCCTGCATCCTGGTAGGGCATAGCATGATCCCAAGAACAGATTGAGGAGGAACTGTCACCTGGAGCTTTCCGACAACTACAAAACCCAGCAAATACAAAGCGACCCTTGTGGAGTGAAGGCTGCCTCTGTTCCGTTCGATTCAATGGGCTTGGCCTGTGTCTCAAAGCCGGAAAGAAGTGATCAGACGTGAATCTTGGCTTGCGCTCAGTGAGCGAGAAACGATGATTGTTTCCGCACAGCGCACTAGGATTAAAATAGTCACTGGCAGGGAACATTGCTGTCTAGCTGGTGGTTCACGCAGAAACTGCGGGGCAGCGAGGTTTTTCGTCGCAGCTTTCTTCACTTGGTCTGTCGGCCTCCCAGCTACTGTTGCACCAGGGCACGTCATTTCCCTGGTGGCTTGGTTTTGCTTTGATGGCATGACGTGGGCACACTCAGTACCGCAGCCCCGCTATGAAGTTGCTGTTAGGAACTACTGCCCTCCTGAAAGCTGAGGCGAGCATTTGTCAATTCCTGGAGAACAGCCCTTCTCTCATAATTACTGAGCTCAGCAAAGGCTCATTTGGCCGCTTCGCTCTTTCTCTCAGGCCCCCGGTTTACGGCCTCTTGGTCTGCTGCTGCGAGCTTACTGCAGAGTCAAAGTGCTGGCTTTGAGAGTTGGCATTTCACGACATGCTACTGAGGCCCGGATCATTCTTGAAAACAACATGCTTGTACCAGCCCCACCACGGTCATGTAGTCACACGTAGCTTCGCGCTCACAACCTGAGGTTTCGTTCTCATTGTACACACTGCTCCTGATGGTCTCAGTCCTGAGTTTGCGCAAAGGCTTGTACAAGCATCCTTCTCAGCAATGTCAGCTAAATCACACGATGCGCCTGGCAATCTTTGGGATTTGGCAGTTGCCGAGGTACCAAATTACACAGTACACTTGGACAATGGTCACCATTTGCGCGAGTCTCAGTAGCTGCTTCAAGGGCAACATTGGGCAACAGCTTTAGCAAGCAGAGACGAAGCACTAAGGCATCGTCGTATTCCAGACTCAAGCTGCAACAGCCTCGACAAAGCATGGAACTTCTCTACCCAGACGTCAGCCGTGCCTTGATCACCGAGGTATTCCACTTGATATATGCTGGTCTCTTCTGGTTCGTGCTTCCCTCCTCCCTTGTCATTTGCTCCGCGCTCATGTTTTCGTCCTGATGGCGCTGCTTTGAGTGAGAAATCTTGCCAAGGCAATGATATTATGGCATACTACTGTGGGCAGCAGCTTGGCATGCGGAGAGGGAGAGGCAGTCGTTTACAGCGTGATGGGGAACCTCTCAGCATTGAAAAATCTAAAAATCTGTTTCACCACTTCCCGACTGCGGACGATGCGACTTGGGGGTGCCCTAGCGCGAGGGCTAGGCCGGCAGCCCTGCAAACCAGAGACCAAAGGGAGGCATCAGGAGCCTGGAGCCTAGGCAAGAAGAAAGCGGAGATCACAGGAGCACGGAGGTTTGGGGAGGAGCGGCCCACCTCGGAGCAGACCGACAAAGTCGACCAAATGCAGAGCAAACGGCGTACGAACATGAAATGCCGGGGCAGAAACGCAACAATTTCGGAACAGGTGGAGGAAAAGAGCAGCAAGTGGCAGGAAGAGGAGGGGTGTGCCCAGCAAAAGAAAGAGAGAAGCATTGCCGGGGGAAAGTCGCGGCATAAATCGAGGAAAGCTAGCTTTTGAAGAACTAGTGGAGACGGCCCTGGCATGTCCTTGTAAAAGAAGCCCACCACACCGAACAACTGTTGAACCTACACTGGCATTGCTGGAAGCCTTGTCACCTGGAACAGTACAACATGCCATATTTTACTGGCTGTCATAAACGCTGAGGTCAGCATTCGTTGCCCATACAAGCATTGCATAGATTGCCAGCTATACGGCGCAAGGTGCGCAAGCACTTGGCCGAAGAGCTCAGAGACTCTCAGACAGGCCGAAGGAGAGGTAACGAATTCCTCGTGGGCAGTAGAGCCCAGAAGGGTGGAAGAGGACGAGAAGGAGCCTCAACAAAAAAAGGAAGTGCAGATGCAAACATCACCCCGGCATAGGAACAGAGTGGCGAGGGTGCGGATGGCAGCAGATGAAGGGACGCCTAGGTGCCTACATCCGGGGAAAATCTATGTGAGTAGGAAGCAGGAGTTGGAGAGCCGACAGGAGTTGAACAGGAAGAAGAACAGGACGACAAAAATGGCCAATAACGGAGGCGCATACGCAGCGGTCGAGCACAACAACAGCAACACATGATTGGGGTGGGCATGCACCAGTAACAAGTCAGGTATCCGGGGGAGGCATGGCGGGAACATGCGGAACCAACATGAACCAATCATAGAGGAGGCGGAAAAATGCGCCGGTATGCAAGTTATCTTGGGCAACAGTATTCGCTGGAAGCGGCATCTAAGGAACACAGGGACAGGAAAACAACCCGGATTATGGGGAAGAACATGAACTGAGGCAGGGATGAAAGTAGAGGCATGAGGAAAAGCATGAGCTGGATTATTGAAAAGCCGGTATTCGCTGCCCCAATCCCAAAGAAACAATATTTAGATTTCACATAAGTTTACAATTAACGGCTTGAACCTTGAAAGGAATACCTGTTGCCCAACCTCCCTTCCTCCTTGCCGCGGCCTCCATGTGTGCACACAAATGTAGCATCTCATCAGAACGGCTGGCAAGGGCAGCTTTGCGATTCTATTCTGGTTTTCTTCCGGTGCTTTCAAAACAATGCCACGCTTGTTAGCCCTGTCACGAGCGAGGGCGTGCCGCACCCCAGGGCTGAGCACACCGCCGGAGTGGCACTGTTGACGGCCGAAAGGCGCAAACACGCCACTTATCCGGAGCTGCGCCTTGGGGGGG